TTTTTTTTTCTTCTGCAATAAGCTTAGAAACCAGCGAATTGCTGCATCCCAAGAAAAAAAGCTGCTTCCCTGGACAGCATCATGCGGCAAATTTCAAGCAAATGTGTTCAAACTGAAGAGAAGAGTATGTGATAAAAGCCTTCCTCCGTCAGTCTTACTCTGCTAGCTAATTTAGCACACTGCGAGTCCCCGGCATTAGCAGTGATCAATTTCCCTGGCGAGATAGCCAAATCCCCGAAGTCCTGCATAGACTTAAAAAATGTCTTGCAGCTAAGAGGTATTCTCTCAGTGGGGAAAAGAAGATAATAAAGTCTGAAGGGAACGTTCTCCTTTGAAGGTTATGCTAAAAAGAGTTGAGAGAATAGGGGGTGGATCCTACAGAGGAGAGAAAAGAGGGAGAGAGAGAGAGAGAAAGCACGAGTGAGGGAGAGAAAAATTTTCCTCAGGCTTTGCTGTTTTACTGGCCTTCACCACCAGGTGACTGACTTCACTTCTGTCTTCCCACAGCCAGCACTAAGGGGATTTCTCTCATCTGTCAAAAAGCAACATTTCCTCTCTAGACAAATACTATGCTGCTGGGTCTTAAAGACTGCCCTCTGCCCACAGTTAGTAGGTGACAAGCATTTTAATTCATTTCACAGGTTACTTCATTTCCTTTTTGTAGATCTGGGGGGAAAATGAATGTGTATTAAACAAACATATGTGTTCACATGTTCTCATGTTATGGTTCTGCCTTCAATATCAGGGAATTTTCTTTCACTTAAGAAAGGCTTTTAAAGAAAGTGAAAAATAGAGACATTAAAGGAAATTTCTTGCACTGCTGCCTCTCATGATGAAGCAATCTTTTATTGGAAAATAATTTTTTAAATGGACCCTGACAGGTCAGTGCATGTAAGGTAGAGGGCATAGTCTTGTGGAAAGGGCTTTACTTAAATGTCTTAGTGTAAATCTTGACTTTTAAAGAGATTTAAACCATATCCTCATAGAGCATGTAAAACTGTAAGACTTAAAGGTGTTTTCAGATTCATAAAAATAGTTGAATTACATTGTTTCTAGAATTGTGTGTGTGTGTGTGTGTGTGTGTGTGTGTAGATACATATCGATATGTTTAAATGTGCACCAGCTAATCTCTCCTGGCCTCCCTCTCTAACTTCACCTACCACCTCCTCCCTCACAGTGCCCTAGCCATAAGGCCTACTGGCCCACCCCAATTTTTTTCTACTCTTTAATACCAGCTTGCTCTCTTTCTGCAAATTTAACCATTTTTCTTCAGACTATAATCACTTCTTCAGAGAGGATGTTCCCTCAGGTGAGTCACTTATACATTCTCCTCTGTCATCTGCTGATAACAGTCACTGTGATTTATAATTATTTAATAATGCCTTTGTTATCTGTTTGTCTGATTCTTCCAGTGGACTATTAGTTCTAGAGAGCCAGCTCTATATACCTTTCTTATTCACCAATATATTCCAAGAGTATAGCATATAAGTACACAAATGTGCCTGAAATGGATAATGTATGTGGGGAGAATCCTTTGTATAGCGCACACATCATTCTAACGTGTAAAAACTGTCAACTTTCCTTTTCCTCTCAGTATTCAAATTCCAGGGTTTTATTTTTATTTTATTTTTTTTTCCTGGTCTGCAGTTAAGCTAGAGGACTCAGTTTTAGGAATAAACATGCAGTTATTTAATTTAGACCAGTTCTCTTCCACAGGTGTATCAAAGTTAGCTTGCTTTAAAACTTTAACTTTTGCCTATAGCTTTCATGAATTAATATTAAGCAATCAATATAGTCATTTTCCACTTTTCAAGTTTGTGTGATACTACTTTCCTTTTATGAAAAGTACCTATATTAGTACTTATTTTCACAAACTGGAAGATATCCAAAAAGGATCTTTGCTTCTACAATAAAAGTAATAAATTGAAGATAGCATTCAACATCTATTTTGCAGCTATCTACAGAGAGTACTTGAACCCAAAGAAGCAACAGTATATGGTCACTACACTATACAGGCTGTATATTTATTGTATTCCAACATTTACTATTTATTTTATTACTAGTGCTATTTTAGGTTTATACATAATATTTGGTATGATCTGGTAGGTCAATTTTTGAAGCTGCAAATGCTCAATTTTTTTCCGTATAAATTGATAGTAGTTGTTTCTTCACTTTACACCACTTGTCATATTAAAGACTTCATGGGCATGTTTTACTTTCAGGCAGTGGGACAAATGTGTAATCTGCATTATTGGAACTGAACATCAGATTTTTGAGGTAAATTTTATTTGTTCACTTAGCATAGTTATTTGCTAAAAAAAAAAAAATAAACCTGAAGATTAAGAGCATGTGAACTAGCATAAAGTATATACCAAAGAAAGTATTTTTACTAGAAACTATCAATATTTGGCATTAATAAACATCATTACATTTTTTTAAAAGTTAAGTTTTCCATTGGAAGTGATTTAACATTTTTAATCAAGTTGCTATTGCCAAATAGCAGAAAATTAAATGTGATAAGTAAATTTATTTTGAACATAGTAACAAAGTGGTACTCTGAGGTATTTTTGAATTTGCAACTATGAAAACACATATCAAGAAAGACATTTGCAAAAATTAATATTAATGCTTAAGTACTAGTTAGAAAGGACAGACTCTTAGTATGGCATAAAATTAGAGCTGCCGAAAGAAATTTTATTGTACTTAATAATAAAGGGAATGCTTAACAATATTTTTGAAACTTAATATATAGTCATAAAGATATAATGACTTCACTTTATTTACTATGAAATTACCCAGTATTTGATAGTGACCAGATTGGTGTTATATAATCAAAAGAAACTATAGATGCTTTGCAAATTATTTCCAAATTTGGGTCTAATTAAACACCTTCAGAGAAAGATAGTTACAATCATTTCCCTGCTATCTTGTGAATTCCCATGCAAATTCATTGGGCCAAATATTACTATTGTTAAAAAATGTAATTTAATCATAAAAATGCATTTGTTAATTATACAACTTTTATAAAAAGCAAGACTCAATTCCACTTCAACTGAAATGTGACTGAAACCATTTCAGAAAACCAAGTATTTTAATAAATTTGCAATAAGATAATGGAGGTTTGGAGTAGTGAACTGAAGAAACAAATATTATCTAAATATCCTGAATTACAACCTCAAGACAAAGACAGCTACCCATGAGTGCCCTAGGGGATCATGTGGGCACATAGCTGCTATGTGAAAGAAGCAAGATTCCATTTTAGCAAAGGTGTATAATTCACAGACAAACTGCAAATAGCAATTACAACCCCAAGCAGGGTAAGGCAGTGTGGAAACACCTGCAGGTCATGAGATGTTTCGTTTCAGGATCACTCATCCATAGGTCCATTTGTCAATGTCAACTCTACCATAAGGTATTAAAGCAAATGTACATACTCCATTATGAGTGTGTCCATTTTAACTGATTTGAAGAAATGGGCAACACAGTCCCTCCCCATTGGAGAATATAATTTTTGCTAATCCTCTTTGCTTTAAAAGTGCTTTTGAAGTTTTTAATTCTTTAGGTCATTATATGCCCTCTCCCAACTCTTGTCAAATTTATAATTTATGCTTTTGTTTTGACATATTTAGAGTACTACTACCACATAGTAAAATCATATTTTACTCAATTTCCTGACATTATTAAGGGATATGCAATGCATTGCATTCATTATCAAAATAATCCACAACTTATTTACATAGTTGCCTCAATTTATTTCTGCTGGTTAGCATTTGTATTCATGTAATCACTTGTCATAGTTTTATTTATCAAAAATTTTATTTTCCTTCCATGATGTTTTTAAATATGAGATGAACTAGAGAATCATGGAATATAAAATATTATGCTGTTTTTATTTTAATGAGTGACAGACGTAATTGTTTACATGTAAAGAGATGAGGAACAGTGAGTTAAATGAGTTATTAACCCTGTGATATATCTAAAGGCTCTTCTTAAGCTCTTCCCAAAATAATCATCACCTGCTATAAAATAGATATACCCTCTTTTTGTAAAATAAGTCAATGTTGAAACTATGCTAAAATTTTAAATAATTTCTGCTTACCTTCAACCCAATCATGCTCCTACTCCAAAAGTTTCCTCAAAATAAAAAGAGAAAAATAAGAGAAAGTAAAGGTTAAAAAGAATAAGAAGATACAGTTTTATCTGCTTGGAGCTAAAAAGAAGCCAGCATATAGGATGAAAGCTATATATAATAAATAAATAAATAAATAAATAAAAACTAGGGACATATCTCCCTTTCCTTTTTAAGAAGGAGAAATATTGGTAAATGTATAACTTTAATTAAAAAGTGACATTCAATTATTTTTCCACATGTTTTTAAAAGTACCTTAGTCACAAAGATTCATGTACTTTGTACAGCACAAATGGACATGTTACAGGTCTATAAAATAGAGTGGATGATACCAAATTTAAAAACATTATTTATGACATCTCAGAGTCATGAACATTGATAATTATAGTTGAAAGTTTAACAAGAGCCCACGTTAACATGAATAACTTCCTATGAAGTATAAGAAACATAAATATAACAAAGCTACCAAAAAATAGCCTGATCAAAATTTCAATTCAAGTTCATAACTAATGCACAGAAGCTACAACAAAAGCACAGTAATAATTAAAATAAAAGAGAAGCATTCCAGCACATGTCAAAGAGCATCACATCACAATTATACAAGCACAAATAAATGGGAAAGAAATACCAAACATTTTCAATCAAAAATCACTGTGATTCTCAGTGTACTTTCCCATCAAACA